ATTTTGTTTCTATGTTAGGAAAAACCTAGACAATCTTTTTAACTAATACAAAAAGCACTGTACAAGTACAATACACTTAGTCCAGTAATAAATGTTCACTCTGAGGTAGGTATAGGTACCCACTAAAGTAAAAAATAAAAATAACTGTGTAGAGATCACATTCTACATTAATTTATTGATTTATAATAACATAATAATATTGTTTAATATTAGTTAGGTACCTTTTCCTACTAAATAGTTATTTTAATTTGTTTAGATTAAATAATATAATATAATATTTAAATTAATATTATATTATTAATTTAAATTAAATTATTTGATAAATGATAAAAAAAAGCGGGCAATTTGAAATGGGCCAATGAGAACGTGGTATACATAAGGCGCTCTGTGGCGTCCTGGGTTGCCTAATACGCCACCGGGCACCGTGTCAACTATCATCGCACCACCTACCGTCCAATATTATCTCGCCCCTGGTGCAGCCGCCGGTTGTATTTTTTTGGCTGTAAACGAGTTGTGTCCCAAATCCTGAATTGCGTCCCTATGTTTTTTTCGGGTTACACGGGCAAACATTTAAATGATACCGTTTTTATAAATTTGAATTTTATTACTGAATTTTATTCAGTACCTAAATATCTTATAAAATCTATGTTGGTATATTTTATACAACATTGAAATGGAAAAATTTATCGAATCGAATTTATAAAAACTTTTGTTTCAATTAACGAAATAGCATATTTTTAAACTTCATAAAACAGTTAGAATACAATTCGTGTTATCGGGACACAACTCGTGTACCCCATTTTTATGATTGGGACACAACTCGTGTACCCCACTTTTATCATTGGGACACAACTCGTGTACCCCACTTTTATCATTGGGACACAACTCGTTAACTGCGATTTTTTTTAACTTGATTAGTATATTATAATATCTAGATTTATACACCAGGGTATTTGAGAAATGTGAGCAATTCAACTGTTCAAGGTCACTTTGTTACATGTGACTTAAATTCATATATCACAGGGTTGACTGTTGAGACTTATCTAGTGTGTGTGATATGAAAATTAAGCAATAATCGTTTAATTTTACTTTGGATTTCATGGTATCTTTATTTTTTGTAAATCGAAAGCAATTAATGCTACATACCTATATAATAAATGCTAAGAAATCAACTTGAACTTTTCACATCATTGTTATACTACAATTTTCTGGAAATCTAATAATTTAAAAAATATGTTGCAATTGTTGAAACAAAATATGTATGTTAGTCTATCTGCATGTGCTACAAAATGCATGCTTGAGGTATATACTCTATATTTTAGGATAAGAATGCCCAAATTCACGGTTGAATATAGATAATTGAGCTGCTGTTATCTTAGGTAAGATAAGTAAATACAATATTATAGTACATACTTGTAAGTATCTTCATATCTAAGAATAAAGATAACTGCTAGTAGCTGAGTAATCAGTATTCATGCTTTAATTTGGGCATTTTTATCCTGAATAGAGAATATCTGGTTGTTCGCCCTGGTCTAGTATCGTGAAAAATATACTACAGTAATACACAATATTATAGTTGTAATGGGCAATTTCAAGGTGTGCGATGTAGGTTGTCGCTCTTCTCTTGTACCTTTAAGATTTTTAAAAATTATGTTTGTTTGTTATATAGTATTACAGTTAATTTTTCATTAAGTAAACTGTTTCAGTAAATAATTTTCATTATAATACAATTGTATATGAATTACTAAGGGGCCTCGCAATGGCATCGATTTAAGGAGAATCATTTAGGCAATTTCTAATCTCGTCGTCGCCACCCGAGATCTATGTGTTAATCGTAAATGATTATTAGTGTGTGTGGCGTCCATGCGGGTCAATTGTAGCGGTGCAGAGGGCTCTCGCACGCACTCGCACACACATGTCAATATATAATAATATTGTGATCATGAAAAAATGCTTATTTTTCACTTAAACATACGATTCTAATTCCAACAGTACGTTGCAACGATAACCCCGATTTTCATTCTGACAAAATATTCTTATTTTCCACAACGTGTACGAGGGATCGATCGAGGCACATTTTTAAAATTGTATTTAGCTAATTAAATATTTAAGTTGGAAATTCTGTATTTTTTTACAATTTTTATTGCAATTTAAATTACAAAAATTAAAAAATGTGGTTCGATTGTTCCCTTGTATATATTACGGACAATCAGAATATCTTTTCAGAATGAAAATCGTGATAATTGTCGACACGTATCGTTGGAATTAGAAACAGTAGTTTTTGACAAAAAAAAGACTTGGTAGTGAGGCCCTAAGTTGAATGGTTATAGATTTTATTAAATTTATAATATATTTTGTTTTTATTAATATGGGGTTAAAACTCATCTTAAAATTTTCCATCAGTTATTACCCACATGACTTTTTGTCTTCGTCCAATACTTAACATGAAATCTGACCCCTTCCCAATATCACGTTTTTATTTACAAACCTGAAAGTACTCATATAAATTATAGAAACCTAATGGACTACTATATCTTTGTTTCATCACTCGGATATTTAGATTTAGATATTAAACTTAAAATAATAAATTAATTCAAGTGTTATTTTAAAATAACCTAGGATAGGTACCTAATATTTTATACTTATATCTAAATAATCATTAAAAAAAGAGATTTCAGCCTAGTATTTTATACATTGTAATTTGATAAACATTAATTATTTTTTTGCTTATAAACCATAGCTATAGGTTCCGGAAACGGAGAATTATATTCATCAACAAATTTATTATCTATGTAAACACCAATTACCAAAGCACACTTGAATATTTGTTTTTTAAACTGATGTATAAATTAACGTAAAATGCTATTAATTTTTGTTATAACTTGTAAGTTATAATCAATGCAATACAATTTAAACAAGCGATTAGATGTGTATTAATATTTGCACATATTTGACATTATAGTTTATTATTTAAATAAATAAAGATCAATTGTATTAATATAGATAATTACAAGACAAAGACACAAAGTGAATAATTATTAGTTTAAAAATGTCAATTATTTTATATTCACAATTTTTTTTTTAAATTTAAACTTTGTACAACTATAATAATTATTAGTTTAAACAATTAAGTTTTACTGTATTAGGGAGAAACATAAGTGAACAACATAAAATATAAGTTGCTTACAAAAAAGAAATGACAATTAAATTAAAAAGCCTGTATGCTTAAAAATATATCAATAGTTATAATAAAAATTACAATAATAGGTATTTAAAGGGGAACTTATTAATTAATATAGGTACCTAGATAATGAAATAAAATATAATACGTGGACGTTATGTAATTGTTAAGCAATGGTTGGAATATAACACACATTTTAAAAGACTTTCGACAGCAAAGCTAATGATAAAAAAAAAAAATTAAAATCATTGAATATTTTATTTTATTTATATAAAATATAGGTAATTATTAGGTATGTATAGTATGTACAAACTACGAAGGAATATGCAGCATTCAAGTCTCAAGATAACTGCATAAATAGGATAGGTATACCTAACGTGTTTTCCAGTTCAGTTTTTCAGTGGCCACAAATGAGTTAAAGACTAAGCAGGTTTCAGATAAATAGTTCGATGGCATACATTTTTTACTGTATATATACATCTTGAATTTTCCAATCATTTTGAGTGTATTGTGTTCTTTTTAAAATTAAAGTGTTTTCGTTGATTTATGTTTATAGTACAAAAGTCATCAATGTCAACAGTAGTTTGGGTCTATTATATTCCTATAAAATGCGGTAAGTTCTGTTTTTATATATATCATTATGTCTAAAATCTAAATACCTAACAATTTGTATTTTAATGACTGCAGTAGTCCCCTTAATAAATATTAAATACTTTCACAATAGAAATATAATGAAGATATATATTTAAAATATAACTATTTAGTAAATGAAATAAATCAAGGAAAATATAATATATATTTAGTACCTACTTAATAGGCACTAATATTAAATAATACAGATTTAACTGTTTTATTGTTAATGTTAAATTATTTATTTAGATATGTTTCTACTTACAACTAAATCACAGATAATGTTACAGAATTAATGGATGAAGTTGTACAATTTTTAGAGTTTAAAAACGTGGAAAATATTGAGTTATTCATCCGAACTGTATTTTTAGGTTTATTTTGTTGTCATTATGCATATTTGCTAGTTGTTGCAAGTTGTTGCGGTATAATAAGTGTTTGACGGTTAAAGCTTCTCCGTTGGTTTGACACTAATCTGGTTCCGTTTTTTGCATAACATGTCCGTGTGTTAACCATAATTTGTTTCCTATTCGAAAACCAACTATTAATTATTACTTTCCGATAGATATATAAGATAAAAGTTGGGAATAAATGTAGGTTGTATTGTATTAAGTTTTTAATTTCTTCGAAATTTTTTTTGTTGGTTTGACCACTGTTGTTGTAATTAATAAATATGTGTTTAAGTATTTTGTGTTTTTCTTTAGTTTGGAGTGAGTGAAATATGATTTTGAAGAGGAGTCTGGTAAGTAAATAGCTTTATATTCATGAATATCTACTAGGTATAACGCTGACTTGGATTCCTATATGGCTTTAGATCCGTATCATCGAGAAGAGGTGTGCAGAAGATATTAAATAAGTATATACATATAGCATAGAGATCGGACTAGAACGAAAAGTACCAATCATAAGTCTTAATCAATATTATAGTATTATGATTATATTGTGATTAGTTAGTTTAGACGGAGAGGAATGAATCATATTCTAGTTTCGAAATATGATCCAGTAAACCATGTATCTGTTAGAATGCAATGAGTTTGCTTCCCATAAGGTGTATGCTCATGATTTAATTATATTAATTACGATTATACTGACTATGATAAGTTTTCTGTGTAGGTACCTAATTTTAAGTATTTTTGTTGTCAAATATTAGTATAAACTGGAGTATTATTTTATTTTGGAAGAATACCTTTTATTAAGCTGATGAATTTGAATCATCACTGGATTCAGAGCTGGAAAATTCTGAATTTGAATGTGAGCTTGGCAATGTTGATGTACATGATTGAATCGACGATGAAGACGAGAATTCATTTTCTCCTGATGGAATTTGAGCATTTGTAAAAAGGTTAAGGTAGATGGGTTTCATCAGCTGCGGACGGAGGAGTGGTGTGTGAACTAAATACTTTTTTTCCAATTCATTCATTAATTTACTTATTTTCATTTTTATTTCAATTCTTCCATTGCTTGGAAACTGTTTAGCTTTTAATGATAAACTTTGAAAAAACATATCCATACCATCCAATTGGTTTACTCCTTAGTCGAAATTGTTCATTTTCTGTTTGTTGATTTGTTGTACTTAGTTTGTTCGAATATCCTAGTACATTTTTTTCTATCTGGTTCAACTTAGAGATACGACGATTTTTAATAAATGTTTCAGTTGGCCCGTCTTCTGTTTTATTGGACATATCGTCAAGTCCTTCTTCTTTGTTAAATGTATAATGATCATGCATTTCAGTTATGACCGTTTTGGAAGTCAAACTGTAAATTAAAATGTTAAAATATTATGTTATTATATTAGTATAATATAATGCATATTAATTAAATATTACATTTTGAAGTTTTTTCACACAGTAAAATAGAGATATTACTAGATAAGAATTTAACAATAAGGTGCAGGTCAATGTGTGATAGTAAGTATTTTTAGAAATTACAGTAAGTCTTACATCACCCCATATCATCCACCATCCTATATAATAGTACAATATAGAGCAGTGTTCTTTCCTCTTAAAACCTCAAATATTTAAGCAAACAGAAACTATGACAATACATAAACCCACGATATTAGGGAACAAATAATTATAGAATTATAAAGACACATATATGTCATATAAATACACTTTTTATAATAACACAAATATAAAAATACTAATCAATATTATAGTTAAAGGTACTCCCATATCCTTTCATGCCCCCAAATCCTTTATTTCCTCACAAAAATACCTTCATAAATATTTTTCAAGCCCAAATATATTGAGTTGACAGTGTTTAATGAAAATGTGAACTTAGCGGTGATAGGATATTGTAATCTAAGTCATAAAATAATAGTAACGTGTATCGATCCACACCAATCAGAGACGTATCCATTCCAAAAAGGGCCAATGAGTATTGTTCGCAGCCATACTAGGTAAGTGAACTAGCGTTGGGGGTATTTTCGGTATAACGGTATTTACCGGTGGTTAAAAAATGCCGATATCCGGTATTTTTGGTATTTTAGAGTACCGTTATACCGTGAATCGGCAATTATCGTTGTTATCGAAAATACCGTATATCGTTACTTTTATTATGTATTATTAATTATTTTTATATAATCTTTATGACATAATAATATATAGTAGCCTTATAAACTTAAAAACACTTTCTAATTTTCCGAGGTATGGTATTTTCAATAATTACCAAGGTACGATATTTTCGGTAATTACCGAAGTACAGTATTTTCAATAATTACCGAAAATACCATTTAACCGGTAATACCGCAGATACCGGTAATAAACAAAATATACCGGATACCGGTTATCAACATTGAAATACCGCCTGCAGCCCTAAAGTGAACACAAATATTATATTTTACACTCGAAGACGAATTTTCAATTTTGTATTTTACTAATAATATTCGGTATTAGAATAAGAATCAACGTAAAAAAATGTGTCGATAAGTCGACTATTACATCATACTCCCTCACACCCGTTATAATCAGCCACCACATGTCCACATAGCCCCCACTTTCTAGTTTCTATCCCCTGACATTTTTATTCTACTACATTAAAAACAGCATGATTGTAATGGAAATATGATTAAGAACCTTAAGTCTCCATTTGTTCCTTAAGATAAATTACGAATGTAGATACTAGCAAATTTTAAAATACATAGTAACTTATTTAACCAATTAATTTTAATTCAATTAATATCATCAACGTTCAATATTTTCTTGATCTCATAATCAGTGCTTCAAATCGATTTAAAAAAATGTCTTTAGTAGACCGTTTTATAGGGAAATTTTTATAAACGAAAAGTTGAAAACGAATCCACATTTTACAATGTTATAGAATGAAAACAAAACGTTTAACCAGAACTATTTTCTGTTACTGAATGAATGTTCTCTGTCAGATTCAAAAAATAATAGTAATGTATTTTGTTAAAAAAAAATCAATTAATTATGGCAAAATATGGGTACTTCTATAAAAAAAAATGTATTTAAATTATAGATGCAACGTTTAAAAATTAACACCATTACCAATACTTTAAAAATACAAAATGTTGTTTACACGATAATTATAGGCCTAATACATTTATTGATATATACAAATTTTAAATGATTATTTTTAAAAATTTATCTGCTTTTTATGTGATTATCTTTTATTTATTAAATAGATAATTTTGGTTCAGTTTATTTTTATCTTTATCAAAATAGATTTTGATCTATTATATTTATATCTTCTATCTAGACGAAAACGATTTATCTGGCTCTACACTGCCCCCCCCCCCCGGCCTCCTACTGTCCCTATTTAGTAGTTACATAGGTACATGAATTACATAATAAGTAGGTATATTATTTTATTGAATATAGATATTATTAAGATAATACTAAATTAAAACATAATACATAGTATTCATATACTATATAGGTAACCAAAAATGAATTAAAATAAAATCAATATTTAAATACAAATGCCTTAAAGAATTCATTCAACGCTATATTCAATAATAATATTAATAAATTATACTTACGATTGATCACATACGATGTCCTGGTATAAAAAATTTAGACGATGTCTTAATGTCCAATTATGTTTAATTTTGAGAGCTGATCCTGTTATTGGTTTTCTTGTAATTATTTTTGAATATGAATCTCTAATATTTTCCCATATTTGTTTTATACCATAAACTTTAAAATAAATAAAAATTATTTATATAATTAGTTCAAAACATTTGATTTTTGTTTTAATATTATATAGGTAGTTACCTACATTTTTAGTTAGTTATATACTTATAAATATCCTTTAGTATAATCTATTATATGCTTACCAGATTCTTCATCTCAATGATATGTCTTTCCAGATATTATCTCTCAAAGATATATTTTTGTAATTTTCATCTAATATGTTGTACAAAACCGGATTAGCCTGTACAAGATGAGTGAGTTTTTCAACTTCAGGTGAAGTAAAACTAAATTTTGATGCCATAATGCCGTACTGACGTTGTTAGATGTCACACACTCGTACCATACTGAATACTTATACCAGTCCTATACTATACTGTAAACATTTAGGATACAACGAATTGACACGTCAGTTACCCATTAATAATTGATAAAAGACGGTTCAAACTTCGAAATCACTTAGGCCTAAAAAGAACTGTATAGGTTAATTGTTATTTAATCACTTTTTAGTCTGCATATTTGTGTATAGATAAGTAACTGGATATAATATATATCTATATACTATATAGTATTATTTACAAACTAACAACTTCTGAAAATAAAAAAACATTAGTGGAGGTCCTAAGTACAATTTTAATCCGGACCCATACAATGGTGGACATTTGATAATATTTCTGTGGAGGGGATTCCAAATTGTTTCGCACCAGTACCAAAGCCGTTCGCTGATGGCGCCAATGAATTAATTGCCGACATATTATCACTCTTTGTGAATCATAGACAATAGACCTAACCTAACGGAGTAATAAGGGCCTTGCTAATAATGTTGGCTATTCTAAACCTAAAGTACATGGCACATGCGACCCTGTGACGCAATTAGTTTATATTATACTTGGGTTTATCTTTTTAGTTTTTATTTTTGACGCAGCGTTAGAAACTAGAGTATAGTCAATACCTAGCTGTGCATATGATGGGACCTAAAGTGTATGCTATGTTTTCCTAAAAATGTGGTTATTTTTATTGTTGAACATCTTTTTGTCTATCGCTAATTAATAGCAAAATAGGAATAAGTTAATAAAGTATAAGGTTATGTTTTACGATATATTTTTCTATCAATGTCGGGTCCCGCGGACCTCCCTATTTTTTATCCATAAATTTCTTTATAGGTCCATGTTATTACTAATACCCATAATATTTACCAACTCACTCTTAAAAATTATTATAGATGATTTAAATTCAACGACGTACTGGTCTAATATTTCTATATTATGGTGGCTGTTATATATTTGGTACCTAATTATATAAATTAGGGACTAATCAGTAACAGACATTTTTGACACAGGTATAGAATAAAGATACCAACTTTACTACTATAGGAAATTACTAATTTATGTCAATATTGAGTTTATATGCACAAACAGGTATATTGATTAAAAATCAATAAAATGCAAGACACCTTTGAAATTAACCATAGGAATGTATAGACTTTGTTCGAAGGGTATACGGCTGATAAATTGTGCCACTCAATATGATATAAATGCTCTTAAATGTAATGTACATGGCAGATCCGGATTCAAGGAGTGGCGTGGCGTAGTAAAATGGGGGCACGACCACTATTCGACTGTAATTTATGATTTGTATTTCTGAATATTATAATGACTAATCATGTTATTATCTTATTTATCGAGACTTCTCGTTGTATTATATTATATATGCCCCGTTTCCCCCCTCATTTGAAAGGTATGAAATGGTTTGAATTGGCGTCACCTATTAAAATATAGGTAACTATTATACCTATATGGCTATATATGAAATTCTGAGTTACGAATTAAGTGTAACTATTAATTAATACAGTAATACTTATAGTCTATAGTCTATACCTAGGAACTTAAATAAAAGTCGGGATTTGAATAGGACTTTTTCCGAACGTATTTTAAGTGACTATTTAATGCACCGGAATCAGAGCTGGTGTATTTTTTCATTTTTGTAAAAAAACAAATAAAACGGTATTTTTTGTTTTAAATTGTTTTTTCTGTTTAAAACTATGTAAAAAAATATTTTTTGAGTTTTAAACAATTTAAAATAACTTAATTTTAATTTAATATGTAATTTACTTATATACCAATATGCCGTGTACTAGTATATGTTTCATGTTTTTTTATTACTTATTTTCAATCTTAAAAGTATTTGAAATATTTTCTGAACGTATGTTTTATGTGGACATTATATTATGTATATATTAACTATTAGGTAAAAACATTTTAAATTTGGTAATTTATTCATTAATAAAAAAAAAATTAAACTGAATGATGGTAATAGATATAATTATTTAATACTTTAACTTTTTTTTAAAGATATC